GCACAATCATGTGGATGAAGGCCTGTACTGACCTTTCATGAGAACACCAGGATATGAATCAGCTAACACGAATAGGAAATCCAATCTCCTTTTGTGCAGTTGCACTGAAATCAAGCAAAGTGTTTCGCGTAGCGAAGCAAAATGTCGCAATAGCAACAAGTTGAATAGATATCATGTGGTTGAGACCAAGATTTGAAACAACTCGACAGGAACACTGGAAACAAATCTCGGATCTCCTTTTGTGCAGTGCCACCAAAATTAAACAAAGTCACCGGTGTGACATTCAAGTTGAACTGCACAAAACACTCTTAAAACATAAGTGTTCGAGCAGCGAAGCAAAATGTCGCAATAGCAACAAGTTGAATCGATACCCCTGTTTGAACAGAGGCAAAAAAGGAAACAATTACTTGCCGATAAAGGAGAATGAAACAAACGATGACAGAAAGAAGCATCTAACTTATCTTGGATGGAAAACAAAGTAGGATAGTAGCATTTCTAAAATGGTTGCATTGATTCATATTAACAGAGACACTCTCTTGAAACAACATTCGTTAAAAAAATGTAATTTACTTTTAACAGTGGCATTACTTGAATTTTCCGGCGGCATTCTTAGATTAACAACAGCAAAATAGCTGTATGGGACATGCTAGCACCATGTGCGTCCACACGTATAAATGGGTGATGCAGAATATGTAGCCAAGCAGCATATCTGTGTTGGTCCCATATTTGTTCTCTTTGAACTTTTTTCCTATGTGAGGGCAGCAAATCTAGTCCTGCACAAACTACCCGACCCCCCAAGTTTCTTTCCCTTTTCAACAAACAAATCGGTTCCTTACAGATGTGTGTACTGGATCCCCCTTTTTCCCTTTTCGACCAACAAAGCGGCTGAATAGCCAGTCCATACTACTTTTCCTCCCTCCTTTCCTCATTTAACCATGTCCTAGATTCATGCTCCACCCCACTGCACCTTTCTTTCCTCTTTGAACCAAGACCTAGATTTGACTACAGATCGAAAAAGATCCACATGCAGCTAGAGCAACGACGGTTTTAGAGAAACTTATACCTTAGGGTCGTCAGGATGTGGCAAGGCATGCGGCGGGAGGCCGGATCTGCCCACACTATGTACGGCAGCGAGGAAGAAGGGGTCGGTGGCCCTCCCGCATAGGCACTGGGTGAAAGAGAACAGTGCAGCCGGCAGTGGATTGCCTCCCTCGCCGAAGGCGATAGAGTTAACGCTGCACCTCCTCCCGTTCCCGGTGCGACGGGATACAGACGCCTCCTTCACCAGCTGTGAGGAGGGAGAGAGAGACAAGAGGCCAACGCAGTCTTGTTTAGATCTGGTGAAGAGAGGTTGAGATACTGTGAATATAGCAAACCCTAGCAAATGAATGCCGAGCCTCCAGCGTGTAACATATATGTATTGCGGCGAGCGTGTGGAGAGTGCAAACCCTAGCGAACAAGCGCTGAGGCTCCCTCTTATATATATACTAATGTAGTACGGACTGAACTCCGGTGCCTTCACTCAATCTGCTTTTGGCTGTATGACAGGTGAGCCAGCCACATTTTGGGCCCACCTGTCATAAACCCAAAGGTAGGTGCACTAAGTCAATGAAGCTGCGTCCATATAGTACTCCCGTGTGTATATGACTAATATATAGTGGAGTGGTTTTCTTATTCTCTCCATAACAATCATTTTAAATTGTGTAAGTACGAAACGAAACTCTTTATTTAATGTACAGTGAAGAAAACTAGTACTACTTACGATGAACTAACGATCCACGCCCACGCGTCCTGGTCGCACTTCCTGTCCTTCACGTGAGGTACACTACCCTCCCTTAAGTGAACAACCACACATGCGCCAAATTATCTGAAACGTGTGAGAGTGTGTACAAATAAAGAATTTTAATTTCAATTATCGGAAAAGTTTGAGAGTATTACAAAGTTTGACTTCAGTCAAATCTAATATGCGGAGTAAATAAAAATGGAGGGCTACTACGTCCATCCGGGTATTTAGTCCACACCATTTTTTAAATCAAAGTTAATAGCTGGACAAATAAAATTACAGGGGAGCTGGAGACAAAGTTATGAGAAGGCTTAGAAATCAATACAAAACTTATTCTCTTAGTACCAACGTCGATCCTTCTTCGAGGAAACATTTGGTTCATAGCCAATTGTGTGATAAAATTGCACCAACATGGAAGACGACTGCGTCTCCAACGCAACCAAGGTGAACTGACGAAGGATATCATCTTTGTGCGTAACAAGCAAAGAGCACTGATGGAAGACAACTTGTTTTTCATTGAAAATCGATCAGCTTCACCAGCCGACGCAACCATGAGGTGCAACCATGAGAATCGATAGGTCATCGTGGTGATGCATCATCCATTTGGCATCAAGTTTGGGTGAGGCACCTATGAAGTTCGATAAATCCTCACTGTGGTCTGTTTCTTCTCAGTAATCAAGCTCGAGGAAGGAAGAACCACATGGCAGAGGACAGTAAGGCGGAACAACAATGGCCATCCAATTTTGTGCAGTTCCACAAAAATTGAGGAAGACATGCCCGGGTATGGAGATACGCATCGCTGTTTCCAAAAATATAAAAAAGGGTTAATGAAAAGTACACCAACAAACAGAAGCATCATAATTATATCTTGATGGGAACTAAACCAGGATACCTGAGAAAAAAAGCATTTCTTCATTTAACCAGTGATAGTACTACCACCATATGGACAATGACTGCACAACCACCATGTACTTTTTGTCGAAACAACATGTATACCTCCACCAAGGCATAAATCAGGACAACTTTTCGAGTGGCATTTCCTCTATAATAGTACTAGTAGGTGATGTTGGACTAGCCGACGAACCCTAGCTACTATGCATGGGGAGCTGGGGAGTAGTCGCATAGAAGAAAACCCGCATGCAGCGACTTGGGGAGCTGGACCAGTACAAGAAGTTATACCTCAGGTGGGCGAGATGTCGTTTAGGCGGGCGGGCGGGATCTGCCCACATGACGGCAGCGAACAAGGGCGCGGAGGATCTTCGTCCACGCCAGCGCCGGCTCCGTGAGGACGGTGCACATAGGCTCCCTTCGTCGCCGACGGCGACAACGTCAACGCTGCACCTCCTCACCTCCCGCAGCGGACGAGATTCGGCCGGATCTGTGACCACCGGTGAGAAGAGAGATAGAGTGGACACTGTCATCTTGTTTTGATATGGAGAGGGTGAGAGAGCGAGACGCAAGAAACTCTATCAAACAAGAGGCTATAATAGAGTAAAAAAACCTCTCCATAGCAGTGATTTTAAATAGATCAAAAACACGCCCCCGCTTCCAGGTCGCGAGAGTCATCGCGCACACACACATAAACATAGACATGCATATCCGTGTTTACGTAAAATTCCATTTCCATCTTCATCTCCAATCATATTTGTCCAACTGGCACATTATTTACGTTGTTAATTACATACGCAACAATATTAACATACAACATCTCTTGTTTGCGCACGTCCGGACCGCTGCCACTGCCGGTCCTGACCAACACGAACCCTCTTCATGACCCGTGCGTGCTTCCCGCCCGAAACAGTCAGTGCCGCATTCATGCCCGGCCAGAGCGGATGCGACCTCTCACTAACGCCGACATTGAAGCGGCGCGCCGGCCGAGAGAGCGTCGCCCGCGCCGCTTCCGGGTGCACGTGGCTGCTCCGCGTTCAAAGGTCGCAATAGCCGGCTACAACATGTAAAAAGTTCTTGGGAGTCCGTGCTATAGCTAGCTGTCCTCCCCCAACTCGTCAATCTCTTCCAGTAGTGCTAGTAGTACTCCATGGCACGATCCATCGACAAGTAGGCGAGAAAGTTATCGTATACTCGGTTTGCGGTGAGTGGCATGCCGAGCGACCGTGTGGGGTCGAGCCATGGAGGAGGGTGAGACACGAACACGACAGACGTGATTTAAACGTTGGTTTTGCTCGATGGCATGATCCAACGAAACGAAACGTTGGTTTCTCTCCATTTCCATTTTTTCTCCGGAAAAACGGAAACTTTCCACTCCATTTTCATTCCCATTCCAAGGTTGCCCCGTTACAACATTCCATCAAATTAAGGACAGTATAACCGCACCTAAACCGAGCCCTCTCAGCGATTAGCATTTTCGTCCGTCCATTTTTCCGATTTGGGACTTCCTGGCCGTCCGATTTGGTGCGTGTGACGATCTATTCCGCGATCTGTGTTAACTGGCCCGGCTATCCTGTGGGCTGCTGCTCCACGGGCCGAGACGGAGTCCTCTGGTGCAATGGGCCGTTGGCCAACCCATTTGGTCGCTCATCTACCGCAGCAGCCCAACTGGCCAGACGGACAATACCTATCGATCGAGAGTACCAGAGAGGCCACTCGCTGCGCTGGCGGCGGTGGAACCTAGGGTTTGGCGATGGTGAGTGGTAACAGAGGAGGAGGCAGCTCTGGCGATGGTGCATGACGTGCAAGCACACGGCGACGCCATAGAGACTCCTATGCTCTCCACTGTCCCTCGATTGCGTGTTCTCCAACATCGACTCCCTCCATCCTGTTGGCAAGAGCCTCTCTCTCTCGCCTAGTTCTGGGTGGATACACACACGCACGCAAGCTGTTCGAGCAAAATGGACACAAGCAAAAACAGAGGAGGAGTAGAGCAGCACACACACAGGTTGGTTTTCCAGGCAACGAATGCCCTTTTCCCTTTTCTAAAACCAGCGACACACTCTGGCTCTACTCTTTTGATGTCCAGTTACAGAAACCAACACCACTGTAGCCATACCAGTGCACGCACACAGCCCACACTCTGCTACAATACTTGGGTACACACTCAGTACACCCACTACGTGAACTGATGGTTGCAACAGATGCAGTTCACCATCACTCCACTCACCCACAGTGCACCAACACATGGGCACCTTCCAGGTTTTACCACGACCATATTACAACAGGTTTACACAACTAACAATCTTCCTCCTAAACCTTGTTGTCTTCATTTGACAACCACCATGCCAATCCTTCGTCTGAGCTCCAGGAACTTCAAACGCCCAAGGGGCTTGGTAAGTAGGTCTGCCAGCTGATCTCCCGTTGGAACATAGTTCACCCCGATCTTGCCATTCTCCACACAGTCCCTGATAAAATGATAACGTATATCGATATGCTTACTGCGATCATGGTGAACAGGATTTTTGGCCAATGAAATAGCCGACTTGTTGTCAACCAACAACTCAACCTGAACTGGCTGCTTCCCTTCCATCTCAGCAAGTAGTTGTCCAAGCCACAAACCCTGACAAGCAGCACTAGCGGCAGCAATATATTCAGCTTCACATGATGAAATTGCAACTACTTTCTGCTTCTGGGACAACCATGTAATTGGACTCTTGCCAAGGAAATAGAGTACTCCAGTTGTGCTTTTTCGGTCATCAACATCTCCACCGTGATCACTATCAGAGTACCCAAGCAGGCTGGGCTTTTCTCCTTTATTCTGAGAGTATTTGCATCCAAGGTTCAGAGTTCCACGGATATACTTCAGAATTTGTTTCACCGCTGCCATGTGCTGGGAATTTGGGCTCTCCATGTATCGGCTTACAACGCCAACAGCATAGGAGATGTCAGGTCTGGTGTTAACCAAGTACCTGAGGCTTCCTACTACACTCCTGTAGTATGTTGGATCCACTTTGGGTCCTTCTCCATTCTTACTTAACTTCAGCCTTTCTTCCATGGGTGTTTGACAAGGATTGCAATCCAGCATGCCAGTCTTCTCTAGTATCTTCAGTGCATATGCAGATTGGCAGAGTGAAATGCCATCTTCAGCTTGCGCAACTTCAATGCCAAGATAATATGAAAGTAGACCCAAGTCACTCATACTGAACATGTCTTTCATCTGTTCCTTGAACATAGCCACTTCTTCTGCACTAGAACCGGTTATGATCAAATCATCAACATATACTCCAACCAGCAGTCGTGCATTTCCAGAATTCTTCATGTACACCGCATGTTCAACAGGACTTCTAATGAAACCAAGAGACAACAAAGTCTGATCCAGTTTCAAATTCCAGGCTCTTGGAGCCTGTCGAAGCCCATACAAGGCTTTCCTGAGTTTTAGTACCTTTCCTTCTTTGCCAGTTTCAATGAAACCTGGAGGTTGTGCTACATACACTTCTTCCTCCAATTCTCCATTTAAGAATGCTGATTTCACATCCATATGGTGTACCCTCCACCCTTCATTTGCTGCCAATGCCATTAGTAGCCTCACAGTTTCTAGGCGTGCCACAGGTGCAAAGACCTCATCAAAGTCAATGCCATGACGTTGCACATACCCCTTGGCGACTAGCCTTGCCTTGTGGCGTATCACATTGCCTTCAACATCTTTTTTCAATTTAAATACCCATTTCAGTCCAATGGCTCGCACTCCAGTAGGTGGTGTTACCATTTCCCATGTATCATTTTCTTTTATGGATTTCAGCTCTTCCTCCATGGCTTTCTTCCAATGCTCATGCTTCAGAGCATCATTGTGGTGAGTTGGCTCCTCTGCACCTAGCATACACAACTCAAGTTCCTCCATATGGTCATAATCAGCTGGACTCCAGTGTGGAGAGGTAGCATCAAAAATCTCATCAAGGGAGCGCATTTTCAGTGGAGCAGATGATTCAGGACTTTCTGCAGCAACAGAGGATATTGGTGTCACCATAGCAGGTATAACAGGTGACCCTGGAAGCACTGCTTGCCTAGGTGTAATTGGTTCTGTACCTTCCCTGTTTTCTGCATTTTCACCTTCTTGAGCAGCATGGTCATTCACTGATTCAGTTTGTTCAGGTTCAAAGTGAACCAGAAACCTATCAGTGTCATCACTGATCGTGACATCATCTCCACTGGACCACTGCCAACCTTTTGATTCTTCAAAAACTACATCCCTTGATACACACACACGATTTGTCTCTGGATTGACAAGTCTGTATGCATTTGAGCCTTTCTCATAGCCAATCAATACCATTGGAATACTTCTGTCAGCTAATTTCCCACCAGATGGACCTGTTACCTTGACGTGAGCCAAACAACCAAAAGTCCGAAGATGGCCAACATTTGGTTTATAGCCATTCCAAGCTTCATAAGGTGTTTTTCCAGCAACACTCTTCGTGGGGGCTCGGTTCAAGATATAAATGGCAGTAGCAACTGCTTCCCCCCAGTAACAGCCCGGCATATTTTGGCTTTTCAGCAGACACCGTGCCATTGCAACTACAGTTTGGTTGCGTCTCTCCACAACTCCGTTCTGCTGAGGGCTGTAGGGTGCAGTGAGTTGGCGTTGAATTCCATGATCTTCACAGAAGGAATTGAATTCAACAGATGTAAATTCTCCTCCTCTATCACTCCTGAGCACTTTCAACTTCAGCCCACTTTTCAACTCTGCAGCTGCTTTAAACCTTCTGAATGCAACAAATGCTTGATCTTTGGTTTTCAGCAGCACTCCCCACATGAACCGACTGAAATCATCTACTATAAGCATAAAGTAGCGATTTCCGGCAGGAGTTGCAGGTGTAATTGGACCACACAGGTCTGTATACACCAACTCAAGACTTTTTTCTGCTCTGAAAGTTGCGTGCTTTGGAAATGGTAGTCGACGCTGCTTGCCAATGAGGCAGCCGTCACATACCCTGTCCTTGTGGCACACTAAAGGAAGCCCTTTAACCATGTCATGCTGAGCTAAAGACCTCAAGGCATCAAAATTTAGATGACCATAACGAGCATGCCACAACCATGACACATCAGTGATAGATGACAGTAAACACACAGGCATGCCCAAACTAATATTCAGTATATACAGCCTGTTCTCTCCTCTTGGTACTTTTACTAGCAGTTTTCTCCCTTGATCAAATATTTGCAGGTACCCATCTTCTAATATGACCTTGCAACCATACTCTTCCAACTGTCCGAGACTAATGATATTACTTCTCAACTTTGGTATGTAATAAACATCAGTTAGCCCACGATGAGCCCCATCTCTTGTAGTAATAAGTATGGTACCCCTGCCCTCAATTTCAACCAGGGAACCATCTCCAAATTTGACTACTCCAGTAACTGAATCATCAATACTAGTAAACATTGCTTTGGAGCCTGTCATATGGTTGCTAGCTCCAGTGTCAAGATACCACATTTTAGTGTCATACCTTCCATCATCACTAAGTTGTGGTTTCACCTTTTCTTCATTGAGGTACACCCTGCCCTTTGCTTCTACTGAGTTACCTGATATTACACAGGTTTCTGACAGTAGAAGAGCAGGTTCTTCATTTTGCTTCTCAGCCACCATGGCTCTTTCTTGCTTCTTCTTCTTTGGCTTGGTGCATTCCCTCGAGAAATGCCCTTTTTCACCACAATTATAGCACTTGAATTTTTTCTTCGGAGTTGCAGCAGATTTCGCGCTCGACGACTGGTCATCGCCTCTTCCGTGGTCACTTCCACGGTCAGCGCCTCCCTTTCCACTACCACCTGCTCCGTTGCTGCCCCAGTTCTTCTTCCCGACGAAACCTTCCCATTGCTTCCTGGTCAGCATGAGGTGCTGTCCATCAACAGGATCACCAAAGCGCTGCTTAATGCGCTCCTCATACGCCTTGAAGCGCCCGAGTAGGTCCTCCACCGTGAGCGTCTTCAGATCGACACACTGCTCCAATGCGGTGACCAAATGCATGAGCCGCGCTGGCGCCGCTTGAAGCATCTTTTGGACAACGGTGATCTCCTTCACCTCATCGCCGAGCGCACGGATGGATGACACCATCTTGTTCACGCGCGTGGCGAAGACCTCTGTTTGCTCGTTGTCGCCCATCTCCAGCCCCTCGAAGGCCTTACGCAGCGCCTGCAGGTTCGACTCGCGCACGCGGTCATGGCCGACGTGCACAGACTTGATGGCCTCCCACGCCGCCTTCGCCGTGTCCTTGCCGGCGAGCGACGCGAGCACATCTTCCGGCACGCCTTGATAAATTGCCAGGAGCGCGTCACGATCCATCTCGAACTCCACCTTGTCGGAGTGGACTGCCTCCCACACGCAGGCTGACTGTAGCGCCACCCGCATCTGCATCGCCCAGAGGGTATAGTTGGTGCGGGTGAGCTGCGGGTAGTTGATGGGACCTCGGGGCCTCACCGGCAGCGCCTGGGCCACCGGCATCAACTCCCCCGGTTTCTGCTCTGCACCAGCCATCTCCCCCTTTAGCGCCGCCAGTTCGGCTTTGGCTGCGTCCGCCTCCGCTCGCGCAGCCGCCGCCTCCTTTAGCGCATCCTCCGCCGCCTTGAACGCCGCCTCCGGCGTCTTGTCCATGGCCGCCAATCACCCCTCGCTGGCTCTGGTGCCAATTGTTGGCAAGAGCCTCTCTCTCTCGCCTAGTTCTGGGTGGATACACACACGCACGCAAGCTGTTCGAGCAAAATGGACACAAGCAAAAACAGAGGAGGAGTAGAGCAGCACACACACAGGTTGGTTTTCCAGGCAACGAATGCCCTTTTCCCTTTTCTAAAACCAGCGACACACTCCGGCTCTACTCTTTTGATGTCCAGTTACAGAAACCAACACCACTGTAGCCATACCAGTGCACGCACACAGCCCACACTCTGCTACAATACTTGGGTACACACTCAGTACACCCACTACGTGAACTGATGGTTGCAACAGATGCAGTTCACCATCACTCCACTCACCCACAGTGCACCAACACATGGGCACCTTCCAGGTTTTACCACGACCATATTACAACAGGTTTACACAACTAACACATCCTCCATGGTCACCGCGTCGCCGGCCTCAACTATACCATGCGTGCACCCTCCTCTTCATTGATTCGCGCCGCCGTCACCTCCTATCCATTGATGCGCGCCACCATAAGAGGCGGCAACAAGATCTGCTAAGGGCCGGGTGGTGGTGACCTGATCTACCATGCGAGGTGGCGACAAGACCTGCTTGGGGCCGAGGCACGGACCTGATCTGCCAGGGGAGACGACGACCTGACCTGTCGGGGGCTGCGACGACCACCTCTCCCACGCGACCACCATCTCGCCGCCGGCTGCAACAGCGGCAACCAGTGATTCCAGCATGCCGTCCTTTGTCTCTTGGCCAGGTCCGTCGCTGGGATCGACATGAGCTCTTCTTGCGCCACTATCTCGAGGTCAGCGGCAAGGGCGTTGCTGTGTTTGATCCATGCCTAGCAAATATTGCATGGTTCCATCTATGAGCAATTTTCTTGATTTAAATCCAATTTAATATAAATATTCAAGAAACTTTGAGTAAACTTTCCTAGATAGTGTGCTGGTTGTTGTTTTTTCTACCTCTGTTTCTGTCATCGCAATTGGAAAAAATTCAATGTAAAGTACAATTTAAAGTAAACGGTAGATTTGTTTGTTATGCAAAGCTGCTGAACGTTGGAATTTCTATTTGATTTATTGCTACATGAGAATTATAGCATTCATCTTGTCTTGTTTTATTGTAGACATGTCTTTGTTAGAACTTTAGATGCTGATTTTCATTGAGTTGTTTCAGTAATTTCCACCGGGAAATATATACGAATTGTTAATTCTATTGTTACTTCATGGTTGGTCTATTTCTACTCTTTTATTATCACTATGTCTCAAAACTGAATCTGTCAATATTATAATCCTGCATTTCATGATCCATTTGGCCTACCACGTTTGCACTATAAGATATGCAAATTCTTCCTATTAATTTAGAAGTAGTAACATTTTTTAATACTTTAGGAGAAAGTTAACTCACAATGCTATGCTGTTATTATTTTAATCCCCTGTAGCTGTTCTAAGGTGTGTTACCCTGTGTCCGTAATTGGCTAATTGCCTGTTTTTTAATCTCATTCCAGTGCCAAGCATTTAACTCGGGTCGCTTGGCCAGAAGATTCCAAGTTCTTAGAGATAATGGTGACGATGTGAGTTTTGCCACTCTCATGCTTTTTTACTCCCGTCTCCTTCCCCTACACATTACCTTTACGGACACCCTTATACTCCATGAGGAGAAACTCATATTGCCTCTCTAATCCCCATCCCCCGCGCAGCCAGTTAGGAGATGACATTTCTCCCAATTTTGTTGATACTATTTGTGGTTGTTTCAATTGCTTGGAATAAGGTGATCTAATGAGATGATGCTGTAAGTTTTGAAGCATAGGATGCCAAGGGGGAGATGTGAGATCATAGCCTACATCTGTCGACACGTGGAGGATCAATCCCATTGTGTCCTGTAGGAGATAAACTGGTGTATTTCTGGTGAGAAATTTCTCCAGTGTGTCACAAGTTTATCTATTCTTTACGTGGACAGCTGGGTGATTTTGTGACTGATTGCTGCAGATGTTCTTGTCCTGTAGGTTTTGAAGACTCAAGGTCATCGAGACATCTAACACAGAGCACCCTGTTAATGTTACTTCTAATTGATCATGTATGTTGTCTTATCACAAACCTTTTTGATATATATGCACATATGCCCATCTTAATTTGTTGGGAGCAGTTCTACATACAATTTTATCTCAGAATACATGGATAATGTCTATTATCCTCCTCTTGTGTAATTGTCTTGAAATGACAAGTCCTTGTGCTACGGTGTATATATCGCATGTGCCTTCTGATTAATAGGCTAAGGTTGAATTGGATACCATTTCTGTGTACATGCTTCAATCTTTTTCAATTTCTTTTGTGATGCCCAAATCGTTCTCAATTTCAAGCCTTCTTTTCGTGACACCTTTGGCTTTTTATAAATAATGACTTCATCATATCAGGAAGGATGGAGATTTTGCAAATGCAGAGGGATTTTTGAATGTTACTTTCAGAAATGAGAAGAAGCCAATTACCGATAGATGCACTGAGCCATAGAATGAGTCATGTTCTCTAGCAGCCAATACAAGGCTCGCTATTATCAAATATGTTGTTACTACTTCGATGTGTTCGTTTTTCTTCCCTTGGAGGTCTTGCCCATCGTAATAGTACCATATCTGTAATGAGGTACCAATAAACAAAATAGTTTTTATTTTCCACAACATGTTTTCATTTTAATCCGCATTATTGATCTCTCTTGTAAACTCAGGATTATTAAGATGGTAGTCTCCAGTCTAATGTTTCCAGCAGTGCTACACTTTACACCTTCTAGAGTATATAGTATGGTATCTCTTTTGAGTTTATTAATTTTATTTGCTTACAGAATCATTAGCTTGTTATCGGCTATAACATATCTACAATACTTCATGCTTCAAAGTATTTATAAAAAGAAATCTCATTTTATTCAACAAATTGATGTGTAGCAAGCAAGGTCTTTTTTGTGGCTCTTTAAGAACAGGAGACAACGCAAAATAATTTTGTGATTCCCACAATTTATTATTCCTTAGTGTTGATATGCTGTCTATGCACTGTATACTATCGAATTGATGTACAATAGATATGGCTTCCCCGGTTCCTCCACTGGAATTGGTGTTTAGAGTTTAGGGTAGTATGGTTGAGTTGTGCAATACTTTCCAACTATTTGCACCATCTAAATTTTCAACAACAAAAAATTGTATCCATCTTTTGACACTTTATTTATGCACAAATATATGAAAAGGTATATTCTATTGCAAAAATAGACGGGCGCGGCAACGTGCGCCATCAACGATCTAGTACAAAGGAAAACTAACACGCATGCTGATGCATCTCAATGATTCACAGATCATAGCCAATATTTACTTCACAACTAAAGAAAAAAGTTGTGAGAGCGTGTACGAAAGAAAAACTACTGATGGGGTCACTACAACTTAAATCCTAAACCCTAAACATGATTTAATTCCCTGGCCAGGTAGAACCTGTCGAAGGAAAGACGGCTGGCACCCTCGGATCATATGATGCTTTTGTGCAGTTCCACTAAAATCGACCTAAGCATCCCTGATGGCAAAGATATTGAAGAAGTGTGATTAGAATAATAGTATTGGCACTAGTTCATGAGACATAAACTCATCACAAGTAGAAGCCGGTAGAAGTAGAGAAAGATCGACATGGAGATGGAGCTACGGCAGTGGAGCAAGCCGGCTCCAAAAGGAAGATGGACTACCTGGGACGTCGGGCTGTACCTAGAAGGGCGGTTGGGACGCGGCATCGGCCCATACCGCGGTGACCCCCGATTGGGACGCACCGACTGTGGGTTTTCTCCCTCGCCGATGTCGACCACATCTACGCAGAACATTGTTCCCTTCCCCCAGCTGCGGGATCAGGCCCGTCGTTCTATGCTTGTGAAGAGAGCAACCTTAGCAAGCAGGCTTGTAGCTTAGGCTCCTGCTAGTGTATATATAGTGGTTTTCTTTTTCTCTCCATATCAACCATTTTATATTGCATACGTGTCATTCAAGAGTGAAATGATGGTTGCTTCTTCCGACTAACTTACTGTGTGATTTGACTACTCCTTAGTGGCCCCTACACGTACTCCCCCTACGTGTATGCAACAGTCACACGTACACATGGATGCAAAAACGCGCGCGACGCCCTAATGCATGCATGTCCGAGCACACGACGGAACACACACGGTCACGCTAAGTGCTCAACCTACACATGCATGCACACACATACTCAGTTAGGGTGAGCTAGTGACCGTATAAACACCGGAATATATATATATTGAGCGCAATGAGCGTATTATGAAGTCCACTGAACGTATTTTTACAAATATATAGTGACAGAAAGTGTATTTATCGCGTTTGAAATTAATCCATATTAACCGGAGAGGAGGCAGTATGGAGTAGCATTACTTGCGCGCGGTGGCTTGCAGGACAAGGAGAAACTTTTGACTAATGCAATCTCTCCCTCGCTCAGGCGGTGGACGTGCAACAGTTAATTCGGTGTCAGATTGCCAGAAGCATACACTATACTACTAGTGCTACTATTGTTCGACTTCCCGAATAGGCGAACAACCAAGCGCAAAGTTTACTAGTACTAGTACTACTAATATAATCTATAAAGGTACGTACTAGTACTCCCTCCGGTCCTCTTTTGTTTGCGTCTAAGGTGAAGCCAGGATACCAAGGAGCAATTGTTTCGTTCGAAATTGGACAGTCCTATCCCTGATGTGCTACCGAGAGAGGCTGGGGTTAGTTTTTCTAGGCATGCATACCATTGGTTGAGCCTGCCCCACACCGGAATTCTCGCGCTCCATGCATTTCTCTCTCTCTCTCTCTTTCAAGTCTACATGCGTCTCACTCTTCCATGCCTGCATGTGTGTCACTCTATCTGCATGCGCACGCCTTGGGAAGGGGCGATTGGTATGGGAGAGAGAGTTGGGAGTTACTGCGGCTGCACATGCAGTCAAAGCAG